TAAAAACCATAAAACCCTAGAAGAAAACCTAAGGCATACCATTCAGGACATAGGTATGGGCAAGGACTTCATGACTAAAACACCAAAAGCAATGGCAACAAAAGCCAGAATTGACAAATGGGATCTAATTACGAAAAGCATCTGCCACAGCAAACGAAACTGCCATCAGAGTGAACAGGCAACCTACCAGAATGGGAGAAATTTTTGCAATCTACCCCATCTGAACAAGGGCTAACATCCAGAACCTACAAAGAACTAAAGAAATTTATAAGAAAAAATCACCCCATCAAAAGTGGGCAAAGAATAGGAACAACACTTTGAAAAGAGACATCTATGCAGCCGACAGACACATGAAATCATGCTCATCATCACTGGATATCAGAGAATACAAATCAAAAACCATGAAAGATACCATCTCACACCAGTTAGAAGGCAATCCTAAAATTCAGGAACAACGGTTGCTGAGAGGATGGAGAAATAAGGAACACTTTTACACCTGTTGGCTGGTACTGTAACTAGTTCAACCATGTGGAAAACAGTGTGGAATTCTCAAGATCTAACTAAAGTAGGGCAATCCATTTGACCCAGCCATTCCATTACTGGGAATATACCCAAAGGATTATAAATCGTGCTACTATAAAGCAATGCACCAGTTATGTTTATTGCAGCACTTTCACAATGAAAGACTTTGAATCAAACCAAATTCCTATCAGTGACAGACTGGATAAGAAAATGGGTTTCAATATATACACTTATGGCATACTATGAACCATAAAAACGATGGGTTTTGGTCCTTGTAGGGACCTGGAGGCAACCTGGAAAACCATATTCTAGCAAATATGCAGACAGAAACCAAACACCCGCATTTGCACTCATAGGGGTGGGAACTGACAATGCAGTCACTGGCCACAGAAAGGGGAACATCCACCACCGGGCCTATTGGGGGAGCGGGGAGGAAGGAGGAATAGCATTAGGAGATATACCCAATGTAAATGACGAGTTAATGGGTGCAGCACACCAGCATGGCACATGTATACATATGTAACAAACCTGCACGTTGTGCACATGTACCCTAGAACTTAAAGTATAATAAAAAATTAAGAAAATAAATAAATAAAATAAAAATAATACAAAGATTAAAAATATATATACCACCTAAATATGGAGTTTTTAACAAGCAATCCAAAGACATGTTTTTGAAAACGGGAAAATGTGACCTATACTTAGAAATAAAAGCAATCAAAACCACAGCCAGGAATCTAATCAAGACCAACATGTATCTACACAAAAACTTGTGTGTTTATGTTCATAGTCCCAAACTAGTATCAGTACAAATGTCCTCTAATTGGGAAATAAATTTTTAAAAATATGGTATATCCATGTAATGGAATATACTTAGCAATACAAAGAGAGAGCCACTACTGATACTATAAATATGCATGACTCTCAAAAGCATTATGCTAAGTGAGAGCAAAAAGACAAAATACTACCCATGGTATGATTGTGTTTATAGGAAATGTCCAGAAAAGAAAATCTGTGCAGTCAGAAAGCAGATCAGTGTCTTCCTGGGGCTGGCTCTGAGACAGGAACCAACTGTCAAAGAGAACAAGGGAACGTCCTGAAGTGCTGGAGATGTCCCACACCTGGTTTGTGATAATGGCTGCACAACTCTGTATAATTCCAAAAAGAAATTGAATTATACACTTATAATGAATACATTTTATGGTATTTAATTTACCCCTCAATAAAGCTATTCTTTAAAACTGAAAGAAAAAGTCAATGAATAGAAGAAAAATGAGAAACAGAGCTGAGTGTGGTGGCCAAAGCCTGTAATCCCAGTGCTTTGTGAGGGCAAGGCAGGGGCATTGCTGGAGTCCTGGAGTTTGAGACCAGACTGGGCAACATAGCAAGACCCTATCTCTATAAAAAAAAATTTTAAAAATTAGCTGGGCATGGCTGATATAGGAAGATCACTTTACCCCAGGAGTTCAAGGCTATAGTGAGCTATGATTGTGCCACTGCACTCTAGTCTGGGTGAGAGAGAGAGAGAGACTGTCTCTCAAAAAAGAAAAAATTAAAAACAGTTAATGTAAGTCAAAGCACAATGAACTGCTTCAGTTTTGAATGTTGACTGAAAGCTATTGGGATAAAACAGAGAAGTCAGTGAGAAAGCTGCATAGCCTTAATCTGAGTCCTAAAAGATGGGTAAGATTTGAATTTGAAAAGGAGAAAAGAGAAAGTATTATAGACAAAGGAAATAGCACAAGCAAAGGCAAAATAAAAGTGTGGATGGGATAGTGAAGCAGCTGTATTTGCCAGAGCATAATGAGGAATGCACAGATAGATGCAACAGGATCTGTTTATGGAAATACAAGAAAATGGGGCAGAAAAGGAAGGGATTCTAAGAAAGACAGAAAAAAAAAGTTAGTTTTTTTCGCACTTCAAATGAACCCAAGAAGCCATGGTTTGTGTTGTCTGAAAAGATAAACATGGCAAATAAAAATGCCTGTGAAGAAACTGTACTCTACAAGTAGCAGAAAATACTCAGTAACTTCATAGGTGTATATAATAAACAATCAGCTTGTGGATTGAAGTCTGAAATCAAATCTCAAGACATCATGAATTACTTGGGAATAAAGGATGCACTTGCCACATTTCTAAATAATTGATTTTATTGATACTTCAAATGAAAAGGCAAGATGAATTAACAAAAGTCAAATTTTAATGAGTTTACTGTTCCAAGCACAATGTTAAATGCTCCCTCTCCAACTTTTGTTAACGGAAATCTTTTAAAACTCTATTCACATTTTACTGAATCATGCACAGCTTTGATTTGTAGAAAAGGCAGATTCTTTTCAGTCCAGCTAAATTGCTAAGATTGCTGAACCACAAGTCAACTCTGAGCCACCCAACTTTTCAATTTTGAACAATTACTTTCCTGGCAATCAAGGGCAAGCTGAGACAAAATTATTGCATGGACAAGATTCAATTATTTAAGTCCCCATTCCATCCTATTATTCAAGACTGTCCAATGCCATAACAAAACGTCCCAGCATCAATATGTATGCAAAATAACACTGAGCCAAGTAACACCCTTTCTCCCATAACCTTTGGTTTTTCACTCTCATCACAGAGTGTACATCATCTACCAGAGAATCATTTAGCTAAGCCGCATTCTTTTTTAATTTGTATCTACCACATTTTCCAGCAAATAGATGTTATATATGCATTTTGTTGAATAAAGTATGATATAAAGTCCAGGACAGTTTTTCATCATGTTAATTTCGACTTTACAGCTAATTTCAGCATTCTCCTAAATTAACAGCTGAAAATTATACTTTTAAAAAAAAAGTGTATGTATCTATGCTACTATCATTAGGGATTTCATACCACTCATATCATGAAAATGTAGGAAACTCCATGCTACTCAGAATAGCTCACTGGGGCTGCCTGGAACTGATCAAGGGCCTTGCACCTAGCCAGGGGCTCGGGATTTTCTCTCAACTCTGGTCAGAGTGTTACCTTGGGGAGCCACTCCACCTCTGGAATCATCTCATTTTCCTCATCTACAAAATGAAAGGAATGAACTCGGGAATGCTACAGCAAAATAAACAAGGTAAATTGCATTCCTACAAAATATATAAAATTAAAATGGAAAAAAAACTGTTTCTAACATCATTGAGCATCATATTATGTTTCACTTGAAGTTAAAACTACCATTTAAGTGTTTACCATTTTTGTGATGGAAAGTTTTCCATATGTAATTCCTCAATATGAATTTATAGTCTCTCTTTAAGGACATGAATTTTATGTTAAGTGATAGTCACTGTCTTCAATTAATGAGGGAAATCAGAAAGACTAAAAGTAAAAATTCCATGTTTGCCCCCAATTTTCCCCTTAACTCCTACCAAGATTATCCAAATATAAATATTTCTTTTAATTGGTAAAAATGCTATTACTTTTTGGACCCAGTTTCTTAGGCAAAGAAGTAACAATATAACCCTGTAAACACTATTTCTTTTCACTGCTGCTCCCTTGAACTAAATATTGAAGAAAAACCATTACAGTATAATTTGTGAAAACCTATGTTGCATATAAAAATTATCCTATGCTGACAAACGTGTATTTATGATCAAATGAAAGCAAAAATGTACTGAAAAGCTATTTAGCCAAATTCTCCACCAAGTTATTTAGGTGTGACTCACCCTGCAGTTTATTGGATTTGTGATTTTATCTCAACATACTTCTAAAGAACAAATTGCCAATCTGGTATTTTTCTCTTAGAATAATGTATGGTATAATTCACTATGGCAAGCCAAATAGTTAACTTGTAATTTGGGGGACAGCTTATTCGTGCAACATTTTAATGATCATATATCTCCATCCCAAAATTAATCTGTTACCAGGTTAAATCACTCCAAATCCTTTCTTCCACAATCTGCGAGAGTAATTGCTGCTTCAGTTTCAATCATAGAGCAGTAAATCTAGATTTACTTTTAGGCAGCTGGTTTATAAGTCCCTGGATATGCATAATTTCATAAAGTGATTGAAGTCATTTTGATATTATATCAACAGCAGCTTATCTATAGCACCAACTCCAAGCAATTAAAAAACATTCACATTTTATGTGTACCTTTTTCAAGTAGTTTGCCTTTGTAGACACAAAGGTTTTCCCCACCACAGTGCTGTTGATAAACTTTAATTTCATCCCGGAAGTCAGGATTATCAGAAGATAGGTGCACATTTTTCCCCAAATAGATCATTGTAATAGCTGCATTACTATGCAAGGATGTTTTATGAATCCTTCTTGAATCCTGAAATAAACAAAAAAATGAGGCTTATTAACAAATTACTTTCTAATCAGAGTTCTTACCTGACATTGTAATATGAAGAATAAAGAAGGCTATTTTTAAGTACCTACCAACCAAATCTAAATAAAGTGTCAATTTACAAATGCACAAAAAGTCAAACCCATTGCAAAATAAATCCTCCTAAATAACTATAACATATATGTTTTGGCTTTGTATTTTTAATGTAAATACTGGGGATTTGGATAGAGTTTGTCATTTTTTACTTTAAGTGCAAGATGTGGGGAGGTGTGTGGGTCTGTGTTTGTTATATATAGTAAAAATTTCAAAGACACCAAGAAGAAACTTTTGGTTCTTTTAGCTGGTTCTCCAATAAAAATCCAAACAAATGAACTAAATAAATATTAGTAACATTATTTTGTTCCAATTTGTACTGACTTAGAGATTTAGCAATAGTTTTTGTAATTGGCTGCTTTATCTTTACAGCTGAGCACTGACAACATATCCTTCCCAGGGCTTAGTTCATCTGAGAGGGAGAGGCACATGTGTGATTTCGTCTACGGTCATTCTGAAGATCAGGGGTCATCAATCATTTGTGCTTGGGACTATCCAGTTTCACAGGGGCATTCAGTTGATTGAAAACCCAATATCAATATTGTTTATAGTATCAAAACAATCTACCCAACAAAGTCTCTAAAATTACTACATAAACTTATTTGATATCCTGTGGCATTGCCCAATTTAAATTATTTATAAAATATGTAGCAAATGTGTATGCCAGAAAATCAATTTCCTAGGCATTGACTCCTAATTAATTGTTTGAAATATTTTCATAATAGTGAATGGGCACATTGTTTGCCTAACCTCTATGAGGAAGAGGAAGAAGGAGAAGCAGAAAAAAGGAAAGGAGGAAGAGGCAGAGAAATAAGAAAGGCTGAGAGGGTTGAAAGACTTTAAGGGGGCCTAGTAAGAAAATCGTAGCCCTCTAGAATTGTACACAGGCCAGCCTTTCCTTCTCATCTACTTCACTTTTCTAAAAATCAATTTTAAGCTGGACAAAAAATGTGCAGAGACCAACTTTAAGTGGATCCAAGGCAGTAATTTGAGTTGATTCCATCAAATTATAGATGCATGAGAAGCATAAATTTTCTAAAGAATAACAAAGTTGCAACAAACATTTTTGAAGGAACTACTAAAATATTTCTATCCCTAAACTCATCCTCTTCCACTTCAGATATTTTTTTTTTCCATTTCATTCTATTTCTCTGAAGCAAAAACCAGAGGAAAGAAATCTGATGGAATGAAATTCTGCTAGCAACATTCTGAAAGTATAAATGAGGGAGAAAGTCCAAGATTTAAAAATTCAAGCAAATTTTCTTGCCTGTTGGAAGGAAGAGCTCTCAAATAAAGAGATAATCAACAGACATATTACAGGGGTATCAAGAGCCCTGAAAGTAAATCAGCAAACTGGATAATTTCTTGCAGATTAGAAACATCTCCCTGAATCACAGTTGAAGCAAAGGGATGATGGCAGGTCTGGCTCCTACTTGGACAATCATAATCCCATGTTTCCTCTTGCCTGGGCAACTGTGGAGCTGTGACAAACCTGTGTGCAGCCCACTGCACAATCAGCAGACCTCAGGCAAATCCAGCTCCAAGCTGCGCCTAGCACCTTAATGAAGTGACTGATTAAATAAAAGCATCCCCCTTTTGTTAAGTAATACTTTCTGAAGCAGCATGGATTTAGAGGTAGCCCTGTGAGTTTGTAGGAGGTAAGCACTATATAAATACAAGGTAATAGTGGGATTAGAGTCAGGGAAAGACCTGTGTCCTATGTATGAAATGAGAAACTGGAAGGAAAAACTTTTAAAGAGAAAAATACAGGAAAAGGCAGACCCTTATCCTTTTCATTTCCTCTCATTCATATTTCTTTCCACTAAAGCTTATTTCTGATAGTAACATCTCTTTTCTCTTGGGTCTCATTATTTCATTCTCTTTTTAAAAAAAATCCCCTAATTACTGCCACCAAGTAAATTTTTCTGAGTTCTAACAGAAGGCCCAAGTGACAGCTTGTGATTCAATATATGCACTAGGAAACAAACAGTAGTTTCTTTCAATTGAATGAATTGCCTCTATACTTACCATCTTGCAAAGATATAATGACCAGAGACAGATGAAACTTTAAAAGGTTTCTTGGCCCTTTCTGCTATCCTCAAGTAAGTATCAAAACCTTTCACGAAAATTCAGTTTCATTTGAAGAACAGGAGCAAGGCCTCATGCCCCTGCATAACTAAAGCTCATCTTTCTGACTTCCTTCACCAGTTGCTTATGACTTTCCTTCTCATTTCTTTTCAGATTTCTCAGGCAAGTACAACTGAGCTGATAAATAAACAGCAAGTCCATTGAGTGGTTAACCCACTAGCCACTATATATTTGCAACACTTAGCATTCAATTGATATACTAAGTTTTCACTGAAATCTCTTTTATCCACGCCCACACAAACAGTACAGGTGTCAAAGGGCCTGTTCTTGTTCATAGTGTTGGGCAGTAACTCCTCTCCATCTGCTTCACAAAGCCGTGGTGAATTCTGGACACCAAGTAGGGTGACCATGAAATTTATCATCCAAACTTAGACACACAGTGAAAGAGGTGTTATTAATAATTAGGAAATGGGGAGAAAAGGGCAGAATTTTGAACTCTTCCAGGAAAACTGAGAAGTATGGTCACCCTACGAATTAGTCTCCCCACTTCTAGTCTGATATCCCTCAAAATCTCCCTCCTGTTGGAAATCAGAAGGATCTATTGTTATTAAATAGATCATGTGACTCTCCTGCTTAAAGCCCTCCAGTGATTCCCATTATTCATGGGATAAGTTCCAACATTCCCCAGACAACATAAAATGTGTTATATTTTCTAACACCTACTATCTCCCAGTGATTGCAATTTCTCATGCTACTTTTAAATGTCTGGCAACTGAACAGATTGCAGTGGCCCAAAGACTATCAACTACTTTTAATCTCCAGGCCTCTATAATTGTATGAGTCACATGATATTGGAACTATTTCCTTGTATTATCTCTCTCTCAGTAGATAAGGATGACGTCCTACTGATTTCATGCCCCCAGTAACTTGCCAGTGCTGACGCTTAGTAAGGACCGAATTAACATTGATCCAACTGGACACAGACATGGAACAATTAGGCATTCCATATTCTGTCCTTTCCATATTCTGATAAAGCTACAGTAGGTGGGTTCCACCCTAAATAGGAAGCTTGGTACATTTATAGGAACTCAATAGTTACCAGAACAAGAAAACTGACTCACAGTGTCTTGTTAAACGAAACACCAACTTTGGTGACTATTCCTTGATAAAGATTGATACAAAACCAGCCTGGACATAAAGAGTAGCAATCCCCATGTTGATGCTGGTGGCCCTAGACAGAGAAAATCTGACACAAGCCAGAGGAAGAGTGTTCATATCCCAAAGACTTAGGGAGCAGCTGGTTGTATGAAAACCTCACAGCACTGCATTACATATGTTCTTCTCTTTCTCTTCTCTTTCTCGCTGGTTTTGCCTCCCACTTTGCTTTTAGTGTGGTTTCTCTTTTCACTTTCTTCTGGGCCATTTTTCTTACTACTGTGTAAACCTTACCTCATGCTTATTCCTAACATGCCCAGAAACACCTCAATCCTTACAGAGGCATCAGAGCTCTAGATTTTTCAGGATCTACCTCACCTATTCCTTCCCATAGATATCATAATAAGGGTTCCTGCTCACATTTCCTTCCCCACTCCCTCTGTTTCCTAATCTACTCTGGTGCTTCCTTGTGTGGCTCTGCATGGTGTAGTGTAAGGGTTATTATTAATATTATTGAAGATGGGGTCTCACTATGTTGCCTGGGCTGGAGTGCAGTGGTGCAATCATAGTGGAGCAATCACTACAGTATTAAACTCCTGGGCCCAAACCAACCTCCTGCCTCAGCCTCCTGAGTAGCTAAGATTACAGGTGTTAGAGATGGGGTCTTGTTATGTTGGCCAGTCTGGTATCAAACTTCTGACCTCAAGCAATCCTCTTGCCTCAGCCTTTCAAGTCACTAGGGTTACAGATGTGAGCCACTGCACCTAGCCTTGTGATGGTTAATTTTACCTATTAATTTAGCTGGATTCCAATGCCCAGATTGGCAAACATTATTCTGGATGGATCCCTGACCAATGCACGTGGTGTGTCCCCTCCTCTTGGGAACTGTGAGTAACAATCTATTTTTTTGATGGCAATTGTCTCTTAATCTGTAAGTCTCACCAAACCTGAATAATTTTTAAAAACCCACATTTTCAAATAGCCATACAGAACAATATACCTAGTTTCATTAAGAAAGGGTCAACTAGTGAAGGTTTCAAGCAGCAGAGGAGCATGTTGAGAGTTTTTCCATAAAGTTTAATTTAGCACCATTATGTAGAATCTAATAAAAATGAGATGAATTTTGCTCATTCTTTTTTTCCCTTCCTGCCTTTCAATCTCAGTTCCCTGGTTCTATCTGCTACATTCAAAGCCCATTTCAAATGCCACCTTCTCTATGAGGCATTCTCTAATCTCCTCAGTCAGAACTAATATTTCTTTCCTCTGTGTTTCTACTGTGTTTTATTTATATCATAATTATAGTACTCAACACAATATATCATGGTTTATATATCTGTCTTTCTTGCTAGACTGCAATCTTTATGAGAGAAAGAGTTTAGTCTTACTCATCTTGGTAACCTCAGGACCTAGTATATCACTTGCCTAGTATATCAATAAAAACTGGACTGAGCTATGTTCTCATTTAGAGGCAGGACAAGTATATAGATGACTGCAATAGTTCCATAGTTCCATTAAGAGATTAGTTAGCAAGCCCCTGAACTAGAGATGTAGCAGTAAGTATGAAAAAGGATTGTCAGAGACATGAGCCACTGTTCAGGTGGCATCTAGAGTTGTGCCATCCAGGACAGCAGTCATTTCCCCCATTTGGA